GTCTATTAACTGGAAAGGTCAGTCAACGACTTTTACGTCCTTGATTTTCGGGAGCTCTGAACGCGTTATTTGTGTAGCTTTCGCGTGGATTTTCTTCTCGTGGGTCTTGACATTGCCTTGTGCAGGCATTACTGCAGGATGCCTGGTGAGATTGTATTTACAAAGAAAACTTGGAAATGCTGATCGCTTTTTTTGTAGTTTGGCATCATTGCGAATGCTCCAAGGTTTGGAATGTCTGGTTGATTTTGAAAGTTGGTTCAGTTAACGACAGTGTCCTTGTTTATTACGAGTCGATGTTTTGATACGATCATTTATGTAAAAATACTACAGTAATTTCTTTTCTGTTTCCCCAAGATACACTGCAGGAATATAGTCCGATGGTACCGGTGATGGATACTAGCGAAAGGGCTTGAGCCGTATACCTCCAAAGAGTATCCATACCAGATCGAGTCAGTACATACATATATTCTGTTGGCTCGCGCTGTGCCGCGTGCCGGATTAAAATATTCAAGCTCAGCCGCGGAACGCGCCAGACGCGTCGCGTTACTGTGTTTTCTACCTCTACCCATCTCGATCTTAGTAGCAAGCTTCAAGTGGAAAGATTGAACCTAGCAGGAGTTCTAGTGAGGATAATAATTGACAAGATGAGTAGTAAATTTGGGAGGCGAGGAGACCGTTGAGCGTTGTTAATATTGATCAATTTTTCAGTGTCAAGTTTCACTATGAATTGTCACCTCAAGACCTCGGGTGTCAAGCCCCATTATCCAGTTCTAACTAGCGTTTTGTGGAGAGCAGGCATAAGTTTCAAGTCGATCTAAATCCGAACTGGCAGGTCAGAATCATGGTCTTCGCGATCCGATGGGTGCGCAATGCTAGCCACTGTGGGCAGAACTTTGCCCCGGATATTTCAGCTGGTGAACATCTAGTGCTTGCAGCATACATATCGGGCCGAATACCTTTCTCTCGCGTGTGTATTCATGGTATGAGGTATATAAATGCTCGTCCGACTCGGAATGGCCTTGATGTTTCACTCTGGAGTCGTCGCTAGTCTCGAAAATGTTACTGATATACTTTAAGTGCGTCAAGTTTTCCTTTGGCCACTGGTGATCCAGTACGACCGTACGGTTGCTCGCGTCTGTACAGAAAAAGACACAGTACCGTGGTTCGAGCTTTGTGGACCTATGCCATTGACATAATAAGACAGAATCTTTCCGGAGAATTCTACTTCGCGGCCGGTCTTTTGTTGTTGCTTTCTTGCTTCTTTTCTATTCGAAGAATTTATTAGTCTAATCCACTTCTTTCGCAGATCGTATAGTACGTATGCGTGCTACAACTTTATGCAAACCCTCGCCCCAACGCTTGTACTTACTGGAGTCCGTCTTGATTTTGACCCGGACGTTTCGGTGGTAAGATATTAACTACTTCGTAGCAGTACGTAGCTAAGCTCTGACCTGGGCCTGATCTACCACGGCTTTCAAGCTAGCCGACCTCCAATCTAAATCTTCGGGCATTCCCGCCACAATTAAACAAACATCGATCCTGACGGGGTGCAGTGGCGCCAGTGCTAATATGGGCATCCGTGATTCGTTTTTTGACTCAAACCTACACTGGTTTCAATTCCTCATGCATCGGCATTCGTTTAGGTTATTCCTGCTATTTATGGAGTTCAAGTTTCGAGTCAGATTATCTTTGAATAGTGCATGAATTACCGGGTTACTTCTAGGTCTCAGCACTGTAACAGTACTCTTGAAGACCCAGGGTGATTCCTATCCACGTAGATCCCTATTCATACCCCATTCAAAGTCTCAAAGTCACGGTTTCAACCTCTCAGGCCCGCGCCTGGAACTTGAAGGTCAGATTCAAATTTATGTAAATGCATATATATACATATTTCCTGATCTTCGTATATTCCACTAAGAATAGCGCAGGTCGCATTATGTATGGAGGTAACCATTTTTATTATAACGGAGTCCTCAGTGGTGTTTCATTGATTATGGAAATATTGTCGGCGGTCGTAGGGACAGGCTAGAGCTGACTTACCGTTGAGCGGAGATAGGCAGAAGTTCGTTAGTACTATCGATATCTTACGCGCGAGATTCTAGATGGACATTGATCAGGTTTGGCGGTAGGATTCTATCGAAGCTCACTACAATGCGTGTATTCGAGAATGTACATACGGTAAGGTAGGTCAAGTTGTTGAATGAATGATCTCTAGAAAGAGTCGAAGTGAGTGATGCTCATTTCAGGTTGCGGGCTCAAGCGCTCAGGTTCGAACTTGAAGCGGAAGAGGAATCTCACCTTTACTTTAGAGGCTAGAGCGATTGTCGAGCACTTCTACAGAAGCTGGCAGGCAGGCTGTTCACTCTGGTCAGTCTTCCTTTCAAGTCTTCCCCCACACATGCACATATAGACATATGACCATGGTCATCGGTTCGTGCCTCTTCGAGTTCTTTCGGTGTCAGTTCATCCTACGATATACCAGCTTATAGGTACTATAGCATGTCGATCATTTTCAATAATTGAATCGACCTACAGGAATAACACAATGTGCGCGATAAGTACGGTGTTACCTGGTATTACCGCACGGCGAAATACGGAGAAGGTGAGAATCGCCATAACAATCTATGTGTGGTCGACGGCATTGGGGAAAGTACGGACAGGTATAAAGTTATCGCCTGTTTTCATTTTTGGATATGCACTTATTGGCACGTTCGCAAATCCACGATCGACTTTATCGAAGGGGCAGCTTGTTTTGGGGGGCATACGGGAAGTAACCAACGGGGATAGTCTAAGGGTAGTAGGGGAAGTACATCGTTAAAAGTGGATGAGCGCGTAAGGCTTTCTATCAACCATCGTGGGTGATTATGACCTATTTTGACATATATGTAGGGTCCACAAAACCACCGTTGCCTCAGCTTTTGGGTCACTGTTGAGTGATGGACAGTAACACGTATGAGACCTGATCCTCTAGGCAGTAAGCGTTTATGATCGCGCGCACATAGGTATGCTCACGATACGTCAAGAGGTCTAGGGGTTAGACTTCTAGCGTACGCCGGAGCACGGCATAATCGCGAGACGAGATGTCGGTTCGATGATGGTGGTACTTTCATGTGGCTTGAAGTTTTCGCAATTGTGCTCTAGATCTTCTGATATGTATAGAATTGGAAGTTTAGGTTCATGAGAGGGGCCAGGTACACCACGACTTCTGAAGGCTTGGTCCTCTCCAAGCCTTGAAGCTTGAGAGTTCATACCTTTCGGATACTCTCCACCCAAATCTATTTCATCCTTCGAGTCACCCCTGGATTTAACGGACCCGCACTCGGTTCGTATCCGCCTCCTTCGAGCTCGGCGCGACGGAGTATAGCCGATAAAGCGTTCGTCCAATCAACACCAGGGACGCGTCATTGACGCGATCACAGTTGAAATGAATTGAAGGATCGAATATGCCAGAAAGGCATTTTTGTCCGGAAAGTCAGAAGGATTTATATATAACATGTGTATATAACCCTGTGATCTAGCGGCTCTCACTTCGTTTTCTGATCCTCCCCACTCCCACTTCCCCCACGCCTACGTTTGTCTGGGCCGTCGTTTACAGTGAGTGTCCCGAATGTCTGCCTTATCTTTCGTCGACTTGTGGTGGCTAAACGATGCGTTTTGCGTGGTATCAATCTAGACAGAATTTTATTAAAGACCCACAAATTTCGACGTACCTAGCACTATCCATAGTGACTACGATGTCCCAGCACGACTCATCATCCTCAAACCAGACCCAGCCTTCTGCTCCCTCGCAACCCTCTATTTTCACTCTCCTAACTCGACTGACTTACATCCCACCTTCCTCCGATTCCCCATCACCTTCATCGCCACCCACACCTACTCGAAGATCCACCAAGGACCTTCGCTCCGGAGGGGGAGTCAGCGTCGACCCTAGTGTCCTGGATGCGCTTTTCGTCCTTGAACAACCCGTCACGCGCGGTAGTGAAAACGCAGAACATCATGCTTCTACCACTACTACCACCACCTCGTCATCAGCGGCGGTATCGTCGACGGCTAACGAGGGTTGGTTAAATCTAACGACGATAGCCCAAGACCCGGTGTTTACAACACCTGCTGGAGCGTTTGATGGGATTGATAGGATTGTCAGGGCGTAGGATTTGTTGTGCATACCCACGTGAAGGGTATGTACAAAGTAGTAACGGTATGCAGCGCTTGCAGCTTCTGTCTTCCCTACGCTCCGTGCCTGGATCAGGCTTTTACGGAACTTGGACGTAGGCTCTGGACTCAGGGACGACCAACGCGGACCAGGTGGATGGATTATTCCGAATCAACATTCGACCGCGGGTTTTCATGAACTTGAGTACTGCATTATATATACGCCATATAATCAATGGCTTGCATAACCACGATTGGGGGAAAGAATGAGAGCAGAGAGAACAGAAGAGAAGGACCTACTATTGATGACCATGCACAATAACATTTCGAAAGATACACATACTCAGCTTCTTAGGCTTGTCCACTGGTGTGGATGTACCACAAATCTGGAAATTATTTAACTACCTATGTCTGACCACTGGTATTGCTATATATCTCGCTACTTATCTTAGATTCCAGTTACTTTTACATATGCATGAGATTACTACATCTATGTACTTCTACCAATATTATATAACAACTTTTTCTCGGACTTCATCAATGTTCCTACTAATTAAGAAATCTATAGAGTATCTTTGGCATGTCAACACATGGTGTTATACCTATAGACTATGCTACAGCAGGCTTAGGTGGGTACCGTACTTGGCATCTCGGAACTGCATCTGGTTGGCCACGTTGGTCCCTAGGTCTTGTTCAAGCTGCCTCACATAATAAGTACTAGTCGTCCCACACGAAGTCTGGCCTTGCCAGGGACATCCGACAATGCAGGACAGGGTCCTTAAACAATCACAACAGACACACTCGAGATGTTGTTAGACTAAGTTCTTGTTCCAGTCATGTCGAGATGTGCATTAATGGGGTAGTGGTAACCTGGGTCGTTGCCACCTATGAGCAGATACTAATGTCTTCGACCCGCCGGGGGTTCGATTCCCTCTTAATGCATCCTTGGCTGTTGGTTTTTTTGGGGGGCGGGAGTTTAGGGTTTGGTGGAGAGAAGGCAGATGGAAGGAGAAGGGAAAAGGAAGAGTTTTACAGTTATGTATCTGAACCACCACAAGGTAAGTCAAGAATTCCTTTCCACATTGCACAGTTCTGTCAAAAAGAATCATATGAGCACCTATATAGACCTCTTACAGGTGTACCACACTACATAAAGATATTTATCCATACAGACTATGCGATGATATGAATATTTTCTGACGACATTCCAAAATGTCACAAAAGGGAGTCCTTGAACCAGCGTGACGTGCTTATGTCACACGTGGCTGGTAGCAAAGTTGTCACGCTTTCGCCAATGTCTTCAATTAACCACCAGGTCCATGGACGGTCTTTCACCCAAATGAGTATCTCATACTCTCAGTCCAATTCTGAGTCAAAAATATAAGTATTTCGAGTGTCCAGGCTCGGTTTCCTTAAGAACAGACGTTTCCGCGTCCAAAAAACATGATTTTTAGCAAGTATTTCGAGCACTGTGCTTCATCATCTCATTCAGTGTACTTCAAACCATGAAAAATGTGTATATAAAGGTTCCTAGCTACTCAGTTTAAGGGAAAAATGATGAGGATAGGTAAAAAAACAAGTGGTTCAAGGAGTCCCAGATGACTGTAGTCATTTTGGTGTGAAGCAGCTGTGATACGTGTATATCTGCGAGATGTTATGAGTACTATTGTGATTATACTGAGTACCGACTTCAAAGTATATGTTCAAGACATTGTGTGTGCTGCTAACATATGTTTGTGTACATAAAGAGTACATATTATACGCACTTATCTTTGGTTTTAGATGTTCAGCTACGACTCAAGTACCGGATGCTTATAGTAATACATATCGTATATGAACCTAACGAGCATACTTATACCAACCAATACGCAACCAACCGCCCCCAACCTATATACCTACAACCTCCCAAAGCCAATCCCAATCCCAGATCCTAAACAATCCCTCTCGATCTTTATCAACCATCCTCCTCCCCAAAGGGTCAAACCTCAAGGGAGATTAAGTTTTAAACACTCTCAAGCAGCCGTATATATCTCCCCCATTTTCCTCACCATCTCTCTAAACCTTTCGGCTGGGACAAGCATGAGACGTGCACGAATGTCGAGCCCGAAGGCGTCTTTAGGTCTTGATTCGGAATCTGTCGTTGATGAGTCGGAGGTGGAGGTGAAGTGGTAATTCATCGTGTGCATGGCGAACTGTAAAAAAAAGAATGAAATATTTCCGGTTCTTTATTAGTACTCGATCAAATTGAAAAGACATTTACATCTTATTTCACCTCTTTTATACACTCATCCTCTGGATGGAAAGAATAAATCCCATCTTCGGGCCTTGACATCCCCTCGCCGGTGGAAGCAGAAGGAGGTTTCCGGAGTTTTTTGCGTTTGGAAGAGACGTTTCGGGATTGAGAGTTTGCGAGGCGGGATTCGTCTGATAGGGAGAGGTGATAGGTTCGAGAGGGGATGAGGAGGTGGGTGAATGAGAAGGCGGAGTTCTATGTTGAGGTTTTTTATTCAAAGGTTTTGGGCATTAGTTTGTTTTTATGAGAAATGAACTTTTTTTTCCGGGAGACGAATGCGTACCTCTTCGATGGCGTTTTGGAGCTCGTCCACGAGCATGCGATACATGTGAGGGATGACTTGGACGGGCATGTTGATCAGTCTCTCGCATAGCACGAGACCGACATGGTTTTGTGTTTGGGAGAAGAGGGATTGGAGGGTCGTGTGGAACGCTTGTTGGTTCGGATCTGGGTTTGAGGAGGAAGAGGTTTTTTGGAGGAAGTAGTTCGCGAGAGCTGTTATTGATGGATGATCCTGTTTTCGAAATTTCGATCAAAAAAGGGGTTTTTCCAAAGATATCTATAAATTAGTGATACTAAAGACACAGGGATGCAAGAGAAAAATAAAGAAAAAAATGTATATATACGTACCCGATGGACATGCATATTCAAAACGGTCAACAACGCATACGGATCGCTGTCCTCTCCGTCCGTCTTGATCGTCGTTCCTATCGTCGGTTGACTGAGTATGAGTTCGGTTAAATCGTGTAAGTGAAACGCTTCCGAGTCCTTTTGGAAGAGCTGGCCGAGGAGATGTTTGATAGCTTGATAGTCGACACTTGGGTTCGGGTTGAAGAAGTCAAAGTCGACATCGATGAGGCTCTGTATATTAGGGTTTCTTCAATCGATTTTTTGTGGATGGGTGGGGGACTGGATACGTACGGCGTCGGAGGAGGCAGCTTCTTCGTCTGAATTTTGATTCTGGGATTGTTTCCGTTTGGACATTTGGTAGATGGAAGAGTATGAGTTTTTGTTTTGATTGACCAAATAACGCGGTTCAACTCTCTACTCATTCATCATGACGAAAACATATCAGATGAATGGTCTGGTCGAAAAGGTATATATCTTCTACTATATACCGCGATAATCTCTATGTCTTGTTCATCTCTTTCCAGATGCAGTCGCCAGATCAGGACTTTAGGTGAGATCGTGTGCGTTCTTTGTGCTACTATATCCGAAAATTCATCTGTATGTGTGTAGGTTCATGGGTCTGAATGACCTGATGACAGAGATCAGGGCAGATCAGAACTGCTTTCTCGGTGACGAGTCGGTAGAGAACAAAGTCCTTGCTCAGGTCCTCCATCTCGTCGAAGACAAGATATCCGAGGTCAAGAATCAGGCCGTCAAATGGTACTTTTTTTATATCTGATCCTCTTTTTTCGTCATTTGGCTCCGGTGTTTTTCTCATTAACGTTGTTCTTGTCTTATAGTATAGGTCAACTCATCAAGATTCTACGACCTACTCAGATGGAGCTCGTCGTTGACAAACTCATAGAGTTCTCTGGAGGCAAAGATGACGAGTTGAGGGACATCTCTGCTTTGGCGCTCAAGACCATCACTAGTGAACTACCTCCAGATGGCAAAGTCGCTGCTTCTGCTTGCGCAAAGTTGACTCCGAAGCTCCTAGGTCAAATAGAGAATGTGCGTATTCTTTTTTTCTATCTTTCCTTTGTGCCACTCGTTTCTTACTTTGGATCCGATATTTTACGCGTCTATTACCTCCCTTTCCGCTTATTCAGCCCGAAACGCCTCCGGAAGCACTCGTCGAAACCCTTTCTATCCTCTCCATCCTCATCAGCCGATTTCCTGAACACCTATCTGCTTCCTTCTCTTCCCCCGCCCCAAGTTCACTTCCCACTGAACCTCCACTCGTCGTTCTTGCCCCTCTTCTCACCCATTCCCGTCCCGTGGTCCGCAAACGCGCCATCCTCACCATCTCCCAATTCATTCCGATCTCTCCACCCTCCCTCTTCGCCGACCTCCTCAAACTCCATGTCTTCACCAACCTCGATCCTTCCGCGAACATCGACAAACAGAGGACGACGGTCCAGTTGTTAGCCGCTGTAGCGAAGAACTCTTCCGCTCAGATCGCACCCGTGTTGGGGGAGATTGTACCAGGAATATTGAGAGCCGTGCAGAGAGACGATGAGGAGTTGAGAGAGAGCTGTTTACAGGCGTTGGAAGCGTTGCTTTTAAGGTGTTCGGTGGAGATGACGCCGTATGTGGGTTTGGTGATTCAAGTTGGAAATCAGTTTATTAAATATGATCCGGTGAGTTTTTTCTCTTGCTTCTTTTCAACTTTCAAAGACTTCTGTACCTGTTTACTCATATATACTTTCTTTCGTATATGTGTTATTCGCATATATTCAGAACTACGCCGACGACGACGAAGACGAAGAAATGGCCTCTGCAGACGACGATGACGATGACGATGACAACGGTCTTGAAGACGACGATGAGTTGGACGAATACTCAGACGACGAAGACACGTCCTACAAAATCCGTCGTTCCGCCACAAAACTCCACGCGGCGCTCATTAACACTCGTCCAGAGCTGTTGTCGACGATCTACAAAGACGTTTCACCCGTCCTCATCTCTCGATTTGGGGACAGGGAGCAGACGGTGAAGTTGGAAGTGTGGGCAACTTATATCACGTTATTGAACCAGACGGCGGTGTACGGAGGGCTTTCGATCACTCCGACTTCGACCTCTGGTGCAGGTGATGTGACGCACGGCAAACGGAAACGCGACGTTTCGGATGAAGGAAGTCAATCTACCAATGTTTCTGGTAGTACAGACGCTTCCTCCGATTCCCCTCTTGCCTTACTCAAATCTCAACTCCCTTCACTCTCTAAATCCCTCTTAAACCAACTGAAACCTCCTTCCAAAAAAAGATCTTCTAGTCCTCCCTTACCTCCAGCGACGCTTCAAGCCGGATTCACCTTGCTTCACACTTTGCTTATGGTCCTTCCTGGTTGTCTCTCCACGCAGACTCCACAGATTTTTGGGATCGCCATCAAGGGCGTTTTAGATCAATCGATGACCACGAGCACGGCGACGCTTTATTTGGGTTGTTTGAATTTTCTGGGATTGTTTTTCGGGACGCATGGACCTGGAGCTTTTGTGCCTTGGTTAGCTGGAGGAGGAAATGGAGAGGAAGCAGCCGGTAATGGAGGAGGACTGATAGAGAGATTACTCAGAACAAGTCAAGAGAGACATCCAAAAGTGGCTTCGGAGGCTATCAGAGTGTTTAGCTCGTTGTTGCAAGCTTTGAAACCCATCACGAACGCTAATTTGGCGAAAATAGGAGGAGGGGATTGGATAGAGGAACTGTACAAGTTGGCGTTGGGAAGATTGGAGAAGTATGATACGGATTTGGAGGTGAGACAGGCTGTGGAGGAGCTTGTGGCTGATCTTTGGGTTTGTGCGCCTGAAGTGATGGGAGTTGTAGGGAGGGAGAGGAGGGAGTGGGAGTTCATTTGTAGATCGGTGAACTCAGGTGGTGAAGGAGGGACAGGAGGAGCAGGAGCGATGGTAGGCAGCGGGAATAGGAAGAGCGAAGAAGGAGCAGTAAGGGTGGTGATGAAAGTGGCGAGGGAAGAAGGGGTTA